GGAAGTCCAGTTTATCACGATCAGTACATATGTGAAGGGCCAGCGCCTCCTAACACGTGAGCCAACAACACGCTCGTTGGGCAGAGGCGCAAAGGCCCCTCCTTGCTGTGGGCACACAACAAAACTCAAGACTTCGGAGATCTCCCAATTTTTGTTGCATTATACCAGCATTTACTCTACATAAACAGCTGGAAGTTCAGAGGGGCAGGATGGAGTCATTTTTGGACACGGCACAGACTGCCACGCTGCCGATACTACGCCCTGCGTGAAGTTGCCACATTAAGTTTTTGTGGGACCTCGGGTACACTGGGAACAAATACAGTTTGCTAGACTTCTATACCTGATTTACCAGGTTTTGTCAGATGACGGGCAACATAAGCAGAGGTTATTTTCTATTCCAGACACTAGTATTTTGAATGATGAAACAATACCCACTGCTTTACAGGTTCATCACCGTTTCACATTCATTGTCTTTTACCTGTATTTCCAACCCATTAGTTCTCAAACCCACTGACACTTACCTGAGTCTGACAAAGCTCAGTCCAAAGTTTGGGGAATAATGCAAGATGAAGTGGTAAACCTTCATATGCCACTAGGACACCTGAAATTTTAAGAGAAAAGAAGGTACTGTGAGAATTTTGTTGGAGATACTCACGTCCTGATAAAAGCAGTACCAAGGTGCCGTATCACTTCAGGAGACCGCATTCGAAGCATTTTTAATAGAAAGACCGATTGCCTGTGAAGTTTTTATAGTACGTTTAATGAATACATGTATCCCTTCAGGATTTCTGTGCAACGTACAAAAACCTAAAGAGCTGGCTTTGGGTCTGGGTTTGTAAGGAGGTTATTTCATTACTCCCTTACACTTTCAACTGGTCAGCTACAGCCCTTAAAGGCTTTCAGTGTCTTTTTTAAGAAAAGCATATGGTTTTTAAAGGGTGATCTTCGTTTTTAACCCAAGCACCATTGTTACCTAGACCATGAAAGACTTACGGGATACACCGATACCCACTGCCAGTGCGCTTTATAACTAACACAACCTATGGTAACAATACTAGAGTTACAATCAGGAGAGCAAGACAAACAACGAGCAAATGTGTGATTCAGGGGATCAACAGAACATTCTGCTATCATCAGTCTTTATACAAAATTCAGCTTATCCAGTTTTATTTGTCTAGACATGGTCTTTAACCACAGCCTGCTAGCCAGCCTCTACAGGCAGAGGAAACGAGAAAACAAGCAGGTACTTTCAGAGGGCAGTTCATTCTGCATAAGGTATTTCAGAATCAGAAAAGAAATTTCTCTTGGAAGGAATCTACGTCTCTCCACTGACTACAGAGGAAAATCTGGCTATACGGCTTAATTTTTAGACAACTGAAGCAAGACGGCTCCCAGGCTGTGTGTCCATGTAGTAACTGTTGGTGTGACACTGATTTTGTGCATGTGCATCTGCACCTGCCAGGCTGGGTATCTCTGCTTAGCCTGGGGTCTGCGGTGGAAGACAAAAAACCAAACCAACTGCCCCCACGACGTGCCTTTGGACTAGCACATGGACTTCACGGGGCGATTCAAGGCGGGACGCTCTCCTGCAGAGAACCAGCTGAACGGCTGGAATAGTCAGACAGATAAAGCCACCGACCCCTTATTCGCACACCAAAAAACGGTCAGGTTGTGACAGGAAGAAACCCAGATGTTGGCGGTATCTACTGGCAGAGCTGAAACAAGTATCGGGTACAAACTACCAAACTACTACCAAATGGTTACAAACTTAATTCAGTGTTGTGATGCTTCCAGAAACCACAGAGTAAAACAAACCTGGGTTGGTAACAACAGAGCCAGTGCTACCTGTGGCTGTCTAGGTGGTCATGCGCGCTCCTGGGCAGATGCCGATTCATGGCATTGCCAGAGGTGCAGAGGACTCGGGAGCTGATCCAAAGCCATTTTATGCTGCCAAACCAAAAAAACCCAAAAAACGCAACCGAAAAAAGCTTCAGCGAGTCCTGTATGAAACTCCCAATGTGCAAGGAGGCTGAATTCTCACTGGTTGCCTCAGCTGCTTTCCGGCAGGCCCTGAAGCGTGACAGTCATGTAGGTAAGATTGCATTACGTTACACACGTCATAGTTTTGTGGATAAAAATAATGTCTGGAACAATTAATGCAGCAAGTTTCACAAGCTCTGCTTTTTCTTAAAAATTTTTAATATAAACCTCCTTGGAGAAGCACTGGCAGTTATCACAGAAAACACCACCCTCAGGCTGTTTAACCTTCATACTTACTCATTTTAACTAAAGTTTCAGTAAACTTTTCACAGTTGATTGCAACTCGACATAGTAGATGGATGAACTGATGATAAGAAAAGAAGTAGTCTAGCAGCATACGATCGTAAACATCATCTTTGCCCTGAAGATTTAAGAGAGCTTCATTTAAACTACAGAAGCAACGGGACACCAACCAGATTTCCTAAGCGTCTAGCTTCATGTTACTGCACTTCTTGCCCTAAAACGTTTCATCAAATGCTACAGGGAAACGTGAGGGGAATCTCCAGGTCTAACCCAGGCCAGCCGTGTCTCCTCATCGAGCCCCTGGCAAGCACCACCGTGAGATCGGCGCAGGGATGGCAAATGCAATTCCCCCACCAGTAAAAACTTTTATGGTAGGATTCTGAATCAACAGACTGAGAAGATGCAAAGCTGCGTGTCGTCTTGAAGAGGACAAGGAAAGAAGGCAGCAATTTTAAATCACGTACAGATACCTAAACATATATACACTGCTGCTTTTTAAACCGTGATGTCTCAGTTACTATCTGCAGAAGTCAGAATTTTTTCAAGCCCGAGCTTCACAAGCTTTCAAAGCAGCATTTTCAGGAACGTCTCAAACCAAATGATAAGTACGTGCCAAGGGTTTCGTGCACCGATATTTTAATATATTTTGGACATACACACTTAAAATGGCATCAGCGTCTGTAGACCAGATAGCCAAAAGGAAGTCTCAAAAATTCAGGCAAACTAATGCAATCCTATACAAAACAAACAAATGCAAAAATAAGCATGCACAACCACAGGGAAACGTAATTGTGGATGTGGCTTTAGAGGCTTAAAAATCTTCTGGTTCCTAATGCATATGAATTCATTCTGAAGTGTAAAATACCGTGTCATATAACGCGATGACTTTTAAAGTTCAAATATTTATGTTATTTAGTGTCACATCCGATACCTCCGGATACATGATGGAAAAAACCACTGCAGATAATTTCTGCTTCTACGCATTTTTAAGAACCAACGTTGGTTATACAGAAATTTTGCTGCTGCACAAATATACAAAGCATCGTTTGGAAAGCTTTAAAAAAGAAGGGTTACTTACCCTACAGTAACCGTGCTTCTTCGAAATGTGTTGCCCACACAGATTCCCATCTAGGTGCACATAGGCCCCATGTGCAGGAGATTGGATTCTTTCTGAATAGCAGTGTCCACTGGGGCTGTGCCTGCACCCAGTGTGTCCTTGCGACCACTGTACCTGAGGGCATAAGGGGTATGGCGGCTTCAACCACCGCTCGATTCCTTCACCGATAAGAACCCCCTGTGACAGGACTCGGAGTTAGCACAGGAAGAGGACCACAGAATCTGTGTGGACAAAGCATCTTGAAGAACCGCAGTTACCGTACGGCAAGTAACCAGTTTTCCTTCTTCAAATGATTGTCCATACATATTCCTTTTAGGGTGGGATTCACCTTACCTGACTTTAGCTATCTAAAATCTAGCCGTTTTGGTGTTCCCTGTGGTCAACGGGGAGAGAGATGGACTCCTCCAGAGGAAGAGTCACCTCACCCGGACTCGGGTGTCTGGGACGGGAAGGAGGGCAACCGTTCGTCTCCTTCCGAGGGTGACTCTTTACTGCCATTAACCATAGAAAGAGCTGGACGCTGACCTTTTAGATAGGCAAAGTTACGTGAGCTGAATCCCACCGTTGCTGCAACTGTAAATAATGGGTCGTGGCAAGTGACTACGAAGGAGCCCCGCTGAAGCCGGCATCCCATCAGGAAGGCCCCAGAGGGGAAAATGGAAAGCAAAAGACTGAAAGCCCTATACGGTATTTCAGGTACTGTATTTTACCCAAACAATTAGGAGACGATGCCTCAGGCTCGCTGGAACGGACTCTAATGAAACCTGGAGGATCTATTTACGCTGCCTGGTAATAAATCTTAACATAGTTTGAAACGCATCTGGACCATCCCTGGGCGGTTCCTGAATTTTCTTTATCAATGCCACAAACAGATTGGACGATTATCAAAATCTGGTTTTTGCTTTTTATCTTTCTAATACAAGGTTCAAACTCTTATCACGTCTGGAGTATGAAGCTGTGTATCACCAAGGGCAGGGAAATGGTGCTTCTGGAGCGCACATCTAGAATGGAGTATATGAGGACAACACATCTTGAAGAAGAATTATGCTTTGTTTACAGAGAAAACGGAGATGCATTACGCTACTGGATTCTTGCAATACTTTTACACAAAGGGAAAACAACAGAGAAAAAGCTATTTATAAGACCACACATTTACATACCTTGCTGGCTTCCACCATTGTAGGCAAGAGGCACATATTAAGCTCAGGACGCGGAGGACGAATATTGCTTTTTCCCCCTATTAATTTCAAATTTTCACGACATGGAAAATAAGGTCCTAGAGACACTGTAGTATAAGTTAGGATAAAACAGGGATATATTAAAAAGGTCAATATTTGACATTGGCAAGGAACACGACAGAGTAATAATAGCGTAAGAGAACTTCAAAATACAATCACTGAAATACCTACTTGGGATATTACTGTGGTGGTATGTACAATGATTGTGCTGTAGAAATGGAACCAGAGTATGTAGGAAATCATGAGGACTTAAAAGTACAAGCTCCTTGAGGACATCTACAAACAAAAAGTTGTTTTTGCTATTACATATTGTTATTTCTTAACAGCAAACAGTTTTAACTTCAGGCTCATGCATTTGCAAACTCCCTTTCATATCACTTCTGCTGCGCTCAGCGCGCACCGTGGAGGTGGGCTCTACCGTGAACAGCACATAAAGTGAACACCCCTGAATCAGTCAAGATTCCCTTCACCTCTGCCACTGGGAGAAAACCTGCCCAGTGATAGATCAATCACCAGTGAGAGGGGTGACAGCTTGTAGAAAGTAGAAGCTCAATAAAATTACCCTCTTTCCTTCTTCTTAAACATAGCAGGTTTGATGCCTGGAAAATGTCAACCAGCAGCAGTCAGGAGGACAATGAGAAAGGCACTCAAAATAAGGGGAAAACGCATACAAATCACACAAAAAAAGGTAATTTGGACACAGTTTTAGGCCTTCATCCACATGCATAAGAATGCAGGTTATATCCATTAAATAATATTAAAAAACCCAAACACTAAACTAGAAAAACTTTTTGAATTAGGTCTTCTCATGCAAGACAGACACATACATAGTGTCTACGCCTACGATTTTAAACAGCAAATCCAGTCAATCCTACAGGCTATTGCAGCTTTACTTTCATTATTACACCTTCCAGTACCGGATCATGGAAACGAACACTGAAAGCTGCTATTCAGACAGACTTGGCCACTGTGCAGCCTTCTGAGCAAGCGGTAGTTAATTTTCCTGCAGGATTTGGGATTTGATCCTGAACTCAGGTGTTATTCCTTAATCATGCCCCGTATCAGGTGGCAAACTGGCCTCAAAACAAAGGCTGACTTTTTGTGCACACAGTCTGCATGTCTGGGGAAGCAGGAATATTAATTTTCACCTGACAAAACCAGAATTATTGAGCAGAGGAACAAAGGCAATATTGGTGTATTAAACAATCCCAATCTACGGAGTATCTAGTAAGCGTCTGCACTTGCAAAAATGGAATTTAAATTTCAAAGCAGGTAACTGCGTAGCACAGGTCCTTCCTGACCGCAGTTACACCATTACGACTTACCAATACAAGCGTTTCTAAGTTCTGGAGGACTATAGGAATTGAGCAGCGTTAAGAGCTTATGGGCAAATTCAATTCGCTCCTGCCACTGAATGAGAGCCTGCTTCACATCTGCAAATGCAGAAAGCATAGAAATCCGTTAATGTCTCAAAAGCTCATCAAATAAAGCATAGAATTTTACTGATGAAGAATCTCTTTTTCCTCCAACATGATTTTAATCAATCTAGAAATCTGTTAAATCTCACTGGTCTACTGCTATTAAATGTACTTAATGTCGTTTCATGTTACGTTAATAAATAATTTAATAAGCAACGCTTTAGTAACTGTTAATCATCATATCTCCTACCGTATGGCAAGTTTTTAAACACAGATAGTAAGCAAGATAAAATACTAGGTTTTGGGTCACAAAACTTAATTAACAGACAACAGGCATAATCCTTTGAAGAGTTATAATAATAGATAATAATATAATAAGAGTTACAATAATATACACTTACTTATCTATGTATTTATAAATACAGGATAAATATAAATATTTAAATATAAATGTAGCTAATGTAATAAGAGTTACATAATAATTATATTATTACCTTTTCTTTGAAGATATGGACGCGTTGACTTAAGAACTGAAAGAAAAATAGACAGCAGTTCTACCAGGTCTCCAGTTACGTGGCAAGCTGTGGCCTCGTGGTACATCATGTGCAATGTGTTAAAGGACTATAAAGAAAAAAAGGCCAAAACTTTAAGTTGCCAATTAACACACTTGTTATCACCGTTTCTACCTATCCGACAGATACCACTTTTACGTTTGTCTTGTGCTCAAAAGAGATGTATCAAAATACACGGTGCTAGATGTAATCACAAGATTACTCAAAGATAACCACATTTAAAAATAGAATAAATCTGCATATAATACTAGTATATTTACTATTAACAAGAGTCTTAAAAAAAAAGAAAAATATTTTTAAAAGATAAAGGATTATAATCTCAAAAAAGATTTTAAAAAGATAAAAAGATTATAGCACAAGCTGTAAGAAAAGATACTTAATCTGCTGGGGTATTTTAAAGAGAAAGAAACAGTAATCTCATTGCCTATAATGCAAAATCTCAAGATGCCATTTTTATATTATAGTGAAGAAAAAAGACACACAGCCCATCCTGCTAAGTGGAAACTTTTCTGGATGTGACAACTCTTTGATGCAATATTCTTCACCACACAAAACACTTCCACTGAACCAGTGAAAATATAAGGCCCGGTATTTTCAAGCTGTAACGCAACTCAACTAAAAGCTGAACATTAGTTTTATCCAATTTCTAGACCTGTTTTACATAGGATAAATTGCATCTTATATTACATACCCTTTATAAACTTAATTGTCCATTGTTAGTACAGATGAGGGTTCTCTAAGCTGTTAAACAAGTTCTTTTTATACTTTATGTATGTATCGTAGTCTGCTTACAAGTTTCATGTATGAATAAAGTTATAGCTGACTTCCTAACTTTGTAGCCCATTGTACCCAATGTAAGCTAGCTAACCACAGTTATCAAAAGGCTTACGCTTAAAACAAACTCGTGAAAACTCAATTTTCAAACAGTCCTGCAGTGTCTTCACTTTTGTCTAACTGATCTTGTAATTCCAGCTTTTTCTATCACATTTTGTCCCAGAAAATACAAACTAGTGACATAAAAAATCTCCATGGAATTTTTTATATAAACCATATACAAATGGGGTCCGAATCACCTCAGAGCATTGCCTAGTCCATCCACGTGCCTTAAGGCAGACGAAGTATCTTTGTATCCTTGACAGATGTTGGCTCGAAGTCCTCCTGACAACTTCCAGCTGTGCTGGCTGACACCTTCTGAAGCAACCTACTCCAACAGCCCATTGACTGGACAGCTACAGCTACCTCCTATCCGCCTGTTTTGTGCCGTGGATTTTTAGCAGTTCATTATCCCTCCCTGAATACACCATTCTGCATACGCCAAGAATGAATTGCATCTTGTTTTTTTACACCTTTTCCAACACATCCAGACAATCCAGATTTTTATTCTTGTTCTCAAAAGGATCTAGCGGCCTTCCCCATTTTGCATTGCCAGTATATTTAATAAACAGACGTTCTTGTCCACAACTCAATAATGGCAGTGTTGAATAGAAACCAAGATCTTACACCCACCTTAGGAAGGACAAAAGAGGGGGGAAAAAAAAAAGAGGGAAGGTGGGGGAGAGGAACACCGTATGTGCCCTTTTTCAATCTTCTGGTATCTCACTCATCTTAAAAAAGTAGCCACTGAGAGTTCAGAACCTTTTCGTCAATCTCTTTTAGGCTTCTCCTACATTGCTGCAGGACAGCACGAGCAGATCTGCAGAGTGAAACCCTTGGTGGGCAGGGGCTTGACATCCAATCGGCACCCACTTCAGGGCTGTGTTATTTTTTTCTTTTTTTTTTGTCCCCTCCCTATTTTGAACTAACTCTGGCCTGGTCTCACAAACCAAACGCCCATTTACAACTGGAATACACTATACGTGCTCCAGAAACGCATTTTACTTTCGTTTCATCGGAAAGAAATCTAGTCTATTTGTTCTTAGACCCCTCCTTGCAAACAAAAGCACAAGAGGTAGGAAAGAGAGGGAGAGTTGCCTCAGAAGTGCCTCAAGAAGTGTTCGGAAATACTCATCACAATTGCGTCTGAGTACCCTTTAAGTTAATTCTGCATTTTAACCTATTGCCTTCACACTTCTTAACTAGTAATAATTGTGTGACTGTGCTCAGCCATTGATCTGTAACAGAGAATGATACCAAAAAAGCATAAGCTCACTCCTCCCGACATAATCTGTTGGTGGCTTTCCCTCTGTCTGGCGAAGCAGGCAAACATTTTCCCCATCATCTTTTTACTACTAACGAAATCTTATTAAAGGTGACAGGGGAAGTCCCTCTGTGAAGAAAGCCAAGACTGATTTCTTAACTACTCATGACATCTCTTACTAGCTGCAACTTTTTCAGTAGCCCTAACTTACTCTCCATTATGACCCTCAGCACAATAGTATCTATCTATCCTTGATATAGGAGATGATGCATCACCCTTTTATTTCTTGCTCATCTTTCCTTTTTAAGCTACAACCTTTTATAGTTATCCTAGCAAATCACTGCTATCAACGAATCTGTTATCTTTATCCTGTACTAAGATTTGTATTGCCTCAAATTTACTCACTTAACCTCTTACATCACTGTTTCGACATGGAAAATGGCTGGTAAATCTTTCTTTGTCCTCCCTATGAGCCTTAAGATTTTAAGGTTTTACATGTATGCTAGTACTTAATCAAGATATTTCTTACCTTTATTTTAAATCGTACCATATTAAAACAACGTACAGCAAACACACTGTCAGGAAGGAAGTGATGACTTGGTAAGAAAGCAAGGTGTTTACTGTAATTAAATAACAAAGTATTTACCTCCGTCATCAGAATCAATCCTCTATTGAACACAACAAGGAGTCTGTCTTCATCAGATTCTAGTAGTATTCTGAAGGCACTAGGAAAAAAATCCAAGCATTAAGAACACAGAAAAATACATATCATCTTTTCACAATTCATGCGAAAGCTTAAAATTATTCTGCTCCTGCTGTATTTTGGAAAGTAATCACAGGAGAACAAAGAAACCCCAAAAGAACATAATTATACTCTTCATTTTTTTCCCCACTTTTTCATTTAAAAATGCCTCTGGTGTCAACTTCCTTTATGTTAACTTTATGTTATCAAAAGTATTTATAAACAACCCTTACAGCAATACTTCCCAAACAATTTCTGCAAAAATGCTAAAAACTGAGGAAAATAATGTACTTCAAAAGACAGAAGTTTATGTCTTAAATGATACATTTAAATAGGTTCAGTTAAGCATAAATTTGGACTTCTAAATGTATAAAACCATTTCTATCAGAACATGTTATGCTTAAAGCATAACAGAAAATAAACGTCAACATAACAATAGTTCCAGAGCGTTTGGGGAAGTCTGGTTGCGCTCTCTGACAGATGACTGGATGGAATCCCTTCGGGTAACACAGGCCATCTCCCCTTTTCACAAGAGTGTTTAAGGCCATCAGCAGTTGCATGTAAAAGCCCAATACCTGACCTACATACACAAACAACTTCTAGCTATACTGAAAACACCCAAGCAACAGTTTCAGACATCCTAGTGAGACAGACTAGAAATGAAAAACTGAAGATATGATACAACAAAACTGTCCCACAGGCAATATTTCTAAAAAACATTTCTCCCCAGGAATAACAAATGTCAGCAACCCCAGCTGAAATTACTGCTCTGCCAACCTAGACTAATCATGGTAGGCTGAGAATGGAATTTCAGCTTAAATGCCAAATTAGAACACTGATTGATTTGTTTTTATTTTTTTTTCAAGGGCTCTACTAACTCAATTTTGTCATGGTGTTTCTTTTTGAATCCTGACAATATACAACCTGGTGTACACCTGTTTATTATAAAATAATTGCTTAGTTTCCATACTTTTTAGATGATGCAACATTCCAAAATAAATTACATTCACAAACAATGGATTTTGGGGAAAAAGAGAGTTGTAATTTTAACTTTCTGTTTGCTTACTTCTGAATAAAAAGTACCCACAAAGCTTTTTTTCAAGAGTATCAAAACAACAACGCTAATTTTTATTGTACTTTACATATGGTAAAATATAATTCTTATTCAACCAGGACTAGATTATTACACCACAACTTCACTACTAACGTACCTTATTAATGTAGTCCAACAAGACCGTCCGTCCAAGCAGCGCAGGTAACAGCTTATGGTTGTTTTCTTAAATTGCTTTATGTCTTCTATCTCTTCCTCTCTCATGTCTGGTCGCTGAGCTACAAACAGTTGCATGAGGTTAAACAGCTCTTCTACTGCCTAAAACACACAAAAATATTACATTAAGAGTAATCTCAGTATGTTATGGTTTATATCTTCATTGGTATTACTTACCCAATATTAATTCTACTAAGTAATATACAGAATAAACATGTGTAAGCAAATTTAGATGGCAATACGTTTTTAAGCTTTTAACAGAGCTATAAAAATCAAGGGACAACATTCTAACCTTAAATAATTAAAATTATGTGGTTCTTAAAAACTAAAATTTTGACATAGAAGTCGTAGCTATTTCTTATCTGTCTTCAACGCAGTTTGCTTCTAGCCATTACCATTTACTGCGTGGGTTAGGACCCAGATATTTGAGATAACCCTTATGAACCTTAAACAGATGTTTTGATGTCTCCTAACGGCACAGCTCATTGCTACATATGTATCTATATAAATATAGATATATGCATAGAGAGAAAAGCATTGGAAATCCTGATCCACGTGACCAAACTTCCTGGCTTTCCTTGTGGAATGTAGTGTCATCTTCTTCAGCATGGGCATGGGCATTCTCTGATGATAATATTTATATTCTACGTAACAGAATTCAGAAAGCTGCTTGTGCTAAAACTCGCTGAAGTCCCATGTGCATGGGAAGCACTAAACACATGGAGTAACTACAGTCCCTCGCAAGACAAACTGAGACTTCTGAGGGGAGATGCAAACAGTGAAAGCAGCAGGACTACTCCCAACTGTCCGAGTACGAATTTACTCTGTGAGCTGAACTAGACAGAAGTTCAACACAGAAGATTCCAGGCATCCTCCTCCCCTACACAGTGAAGAAAATCTTTGTATTCTTTCTGTCCTCATAAACCTATAAAGGACCCCAAAGCAACAGTCATCGTGTAATCATACAAAAATGCGTATTTTGCCTCCTAAAACCTTTGTAAGGTAACTGTTTTTAAACTGTTACACACAGACTATTTAATCTAGTACCTACTCTCTACTGCAAGTGTCATAATGTTGTAAAGACAGTGCGACTCCCAGCGTACCAACATTTTGCAAAAGGTACACAAGTGTTCCCAAGGTGAACACCGGGCCACCCTCCGTTTGAATGCAACCGGCTACGTCTTGGCCCTACTCCAGAAACTGAAAGCAAGGAAGAAACTCACTGGCAATTCCTCCAACTTGGTGCGCTGGAATGCAACACGCCTTCTTAAGACCACCATTAAAGGCTATTTCTCGTTTCTTACGACTAGGCTGGCGTACAGAATATTGAAGAACAGTGGAAACAGCAGTGTCTGCTTCCAGAAAGAAACATCTGCTCTTCAGTTGCTACACAGGAAGGAAGAAAATCTCAAACCATTCCCCCACGAAGTACAGTAATCGGATCTAAACGCATTATTAATTACTTATACTAGGAAATCAAAATATGATACTTTTGCCACCGGATGCATTAAAGAAGTCTTTTCATCTCCTCCATTAAGACAGACGTTCCGACAGAGGGGAAATACTTACAACGAAATGCTATTTTTTGGGTATCAATCTACTTACTCCTGGGTACTGACTGGCGTGTGGCGTGAGATTCTTAAAGGCCCACTGGATATTCTGGTGAGAAGCCAGCTGCCTCGTGAACGCAGGGGACTGCTCACAGCAGAGGCGCAGGATGCCATAGTAGGCAGGCAGCATCCCGCGGTTAAAGAGCACCACATCCTGATCGTCATGGTCTGCGAGGATGTAATTGAAGGCAATGTTCTTCGTCACCACGGGATTCTGTACAATAAGGCGTACGTTCTCTGGACAGTCGACACACACATTATACCAAAAAGACAGCAAAGCCTGTTTGTTGTGGTTGGTGGCTATAGCTGGTTCAGAAAGTTTAGGCTGGAAAAGGTTCCATAAGTCCATGAAGTAAGAAGAAAACATGAGTTTCTCAGTTTTTGAGATCAAACAGTATGTCATGAAACTGAAGTAGGGCACAAGTTTTGTAGTGCCATGAACAGCAGCATCAACATACAGCTTAGCTCTCGAAAGAAGGCCAAGCAGCACATTGTAGACTTGATGAAGAACTACTGTAGTATCTGGACTGAGGGGCAGATCACCTGTAGGGATGTGCAAAGAGCGAGTTGATCGGAACATCTGACGAAAGGAATTGCTTGGAATAAGCGACACCAAGAGATAGGCTGCGGCTTCAAATAAAAACAAATTTGTTACACCTTTGAAAATGACATACATGCTTAACAGTTGTTTAAACAGAAGTTAAATTACATTGTCTGTTCCATTTACAGATTTCAATGCATTTTACAGAATAGGGTATTACTGTATTCACAGTGGAGCTGAAAAAAGCCAGAGTGGGTAAGACCAGCACAAAGCATGTTAAAAGTGGCGTTGATACTTGCACCCAGGCCTCTTCACCCTGTGTTCCTGTCTGCTGCTTGGTTCTGTTGTAACACAGTGCATCCCATCGCAGCCGTACAAACCCACATGTTTTCTATCACTAGATTGCATACTGCTTGATCAAGACGTCGTTACCTCTTGAGAGGTGTTTACAGCTGGGGTCTGCTGCAAAGCTGCACCTCCAGCTTCCACATCTCCCTCAACCACAGAAAATGCATTAAAGTTCAGTGTGGCCCGTTACTGTGGAATCTCCTTTATATAAAAATTCAGACAAAGGAAAGGCTGAAAGTGTGACCTTGGCAACAGTCTGGTACTGTAATTCCCAGCAGAACAAACTAGAAAGCCAGGACACCCTGGAGTTGGGGAGAAGCACAAGTGTCTTCTCCTTGATCCACAAGTTCAAAGGACTCAACTAACAATTACCCTGTGATGTGTTAAAGAAGAACAAGTACTGCTCCTACCTACAGTACAACTATGTGATGGAAACTATTGAGAAACTCTTGGATTATTTCTTTTTCTTCTTTGGGTTTTCCTGGATCTTGTAGATTAACCACATAAGGTAAAGAACCTACTAACGTATCATTCAAGATACAAAATCAAAGCATGGTTTTCATCAAAACCAGGTAGTGTGTCTTGATAAGGCACCACAGTTGTATTAGTATTTCAAAATACAGCAATCCTAAAACAACTGGAAGAGGAAGAAGAGACAAGTACGAAAGCAAGCGTTTCATTTGTGACAGGAATACCACACGTATAGTAACTTGTTACAGCAGAAGAATAATTTTCTTCAATTTAACTTAACTTACAAGTTCTCACTCTAGGATAGTTGTGTGCCAGAAGAAAACGTTCAACCCAGTTTTCCATATTTTGCAGCACCCAGCTATGAGCTAGTTTGTTTCGAGGTGTTTGCACAGCCAGCCAATCCAGGCACTGAGACGGGTTGTATTCAATAACCTGAAAGAAAAGTGGAAAAATCACAAAGAACACATTAACCTTGATATTATGCACTGATTGTATTAAAAAACACTTAAACTACCTACCAAGACTTTCAAAATATTTTTTCAAAATCACTTAGGGCTATCAAAGCACCTACAAGACTGAGGCACTCTGGCAAAGAAAACCCTTATTAAATTTCCCTGTGGTTTGTGCTTTTGAATCCTGTTTGGAGCTTTTGAAAGTTCAGTCTAAGTCCAGGAAGTTACCCTACATACCCTTTCTGCATAGGCTGAGTTACTTAACACTTGAAATATTAAGGACTTAGAAAACTGAACAATCTTGTCTTTATCAAGTGTTTTGTTTTTTTTTTAATAGCTAACACAAAATCTTAACACTGAATCAGTATTTTTATACAAGTTATATCAAAAGAACATAAGTGGTATGCAAATATGTTCATATAGCTTCGTGCTGTTATGTTTTTTATGAATATGCAACTTCAAGGAATAAATTCGTCTAGTGCTTTTCAAAGGTAATGAAAAGCCTGTGGAGTGCTGTTGCACGGTTATCAAATCCTTACAGATAATAAGGACAAAATGTAGCTTCCTGTGCCTTTCTGGTTCTGTGTAGTTAAAAATTTGTTGACATATTATTAGGCCAATAAATGTAGTTCATTCATTTACTAGTTTTTAAAAACTGTTTTCTTTTTACCTTGAGGTCCAGGTACCCAGACAAGGAAAAGGAACTCTATCTAAGGAACGACAGGCAGTAACTGAATTGCTGAATCTGTTCCCAACTACCCTAATCCACCCAAAGAATATGAGCAGCTGACATGACCAAAACTCTGCTTATAAAATTTTAAACTCCATTTAAAAAGAAACACATTAAGAACAATTGCCCCATTTTTTTATTAGAAATGACAAATTGATCCATCAAGTTTTCTTCGTAATACCTGGAGGGGATCTCCAAGAAAAAGACTATCGTTTTTCACTGTCTTCATCGCTCAATGACTTTTTAATGACTTCTAGAAACTGGAGTGGCTGCAAAAGTAGGTTCTACACCCTAAATCTGTCTGTCTGTGCATTAACCACTGAGCCTCTCATCCCTGCCTCACAATTTCCATCTCCTGATCTGTGTCAACAAGGTAAGGATAATAATGCTGGCAACACCAGCGACTGAACTGATGACTTTACTGCTAAAAGCTTGGCTTTCCAACAGAAACCTGTCATCGCTTTGCTTCCACTGGAGGTTCAGTTTGTTAACTGAGAATAAGGAGGGAAATAAAAAAGAGGATTGCTTAACAAATTACATACGTAAACTTTGTGGCTACTGACTGAAGCATGAAGCACATGTACTTCATGCCACAACCTATGTACTGTCAAAACTCACTTGGAAAGGCTTCCTTATTGCTGAGAGAAATTAATAACCTACCACTTCCCTGTACACAGAAAGCACTAGATGTAATTCTTGACCTTGGGATCCGCTGTTTGAACTCTCTTTACCTGAAGCACAAGCAGTTAGAGCTAATTCATATTCAGATCAGACACCTAGCAAAAATTTGGCACACGCTTTCCCAGATTACCTAGTGGCTGCTCTCCTGTAACTGGTCCTAACCAGGAGTAAAATACTTTTGATCAGGAATCCATCTATCCTGCAGTGCTTCGGTGGATAAGACAGGTTTGTGTTTTACCAGAGGTCTCTTATTACTGCACAGTAATAATCTTTTAGAAACCCACCCCCACCACTTTTTAAACAGTATTAAAGGGAATGATTGTTCAAAAGCTTGTCCTCAGCAGTCTTCAGGTTGGACACACTGTTCTCAGACAGACAGTAAATTGTACTGGGAACTCAAAGAGCACTTACTTGAAGTAGAATTCCCAATCTATTTCTCAGATCAGGAATTTATCCCTGTGCCACCTTAGTTAAAAAGACTCTTTCTCGCTTTAGAAATGCAAGGAAGAACGGTCCTGCACCACAGCAATTATTCACTAGATTCAATTTAGCACTATTTTATGGGTAAAAAATGCTAATGAGTATTTTACAGAGAAAAAAAAAAAAACCAAACCACTATTCAAAGAACCAGTACATAATGGGAAAAAAATCCCCACAAAATAAACCTAAAAAACGATGGGCCTTGAAAAATTTTACAGTCCTTGCAAAAGGATAACTGAGAAAAATCAGTGGAATTTGCCTAGAAGCAGCATTCTAGACCCTTACTATGAATCAGTTAATTTCTCATTAAACTAAAATTTAAAGTTAAACTGAAATACCAGTTAACCAGGATGCTGTGAAAATCACATTCAAAGTTAAAGTAGAACTTTTAAATGTCTATTAGCTGTTGCTGTTTATTTGGAAGAGAAATGGTCATCCTAAAAGATCATTAATTGATGCAGCAAGGATGACAATGAAATCTAAACCCCTTTCATAGACATAAAAGAATGAATAAGAGAAAGACAATTTAGCTTCTGTTTTCTTTTACATGTTGTACCTCCCATATCCTCTGCAGAATGTAAGAAGCAAAGGGTGGCATTCCAACATTCCTGGAGGTCCACCAGCAAATTCCATTAGCATGGTCAGCAATTTGAAAAAAGGATTGGCTGCCTGTAATGCATAAAGATAAAAATTTCCATTTTGATCTATTTCATTTCAGCTGCTAATTTTTTAGCGACTTAAAAAACCAACCCTAACATTTGCATAAAAATGTATTTCTATGAAATTCTGACATGAGCGTTTATATTACTTTTAATTCCTTACTATTTAAACTGTAAACAATCCACACAGATATATAGACACATCTTAATTCTACGGTACCCACATATGGATACAGTAGAATTAAGCCACTTTTAATAGCTAGGGCAAGGCAACATGATCATACCAGATAGCGTCAGTGTAGAAGAAGTATATAGTTACAAGGGAGTAACAACAGACATTGTCCGACACAGCCAG